TCCCTCCAGGAGGAGGCCCCGGGGAAGACCCAGGACACACTGGAAGGACTATGTCTCTTGGCTGGCCTGGGAACACGTCAGCATTCCCCCAGAGGAGCTGGAGGAAGTGTCTGGAGAGAGGGAAGTCTGGGCATCTTTGCTTAGACTGCTGCCCCCGCGACCTGGCTCTGGATAAGCGGAGGAAAATGGATGGATGGTTGAACACCTCTGTCACCCAGTCACGTTGCAGTTTACATGTATATCTATCCACACTAATATAGCCTATGTACTAAAGATTTTGAAGGGATTTAATAAAAGATATTGAATATATTTTTTGGCAAAATGTAAGTTATCACTATAGGTTATCACAGGTGTGATTTTAATCAGTTCATTAAGTCCAATTGTGCAAGATTTAAAGAAATTCTTTTGAGGCAGTCCTGTGTGACAGACAGATGGACATAGGCTATGTACATACAGAACAAACAACCTGGGAACACAGTGCCTGTTGTTATACCTCAATAAGTAATGACAAAATCAAAATAGGTTATTCATTTCAGTACTAGGCTATTTATGATTTATGAAAATGTAACTTTTATTCTAGCTCAAGAAGCAAACACTACATATATCACTGTGACCAGTTTTTCACCACACCACATTTAATCCCAGGAGAACCTCCATTATATTCCAGTTAAGCTGAAATAAGATAAGTGTTTCTACAAATGTGGCTGTTTGGAAATAAAACGATTCCAGGTTTTCCCCTGCTTCATTTATCATAGGAGTGCTAACTGAAGCTTATTTTCCACTGGTTGGAAGGAGTTGCTTTTAGAATGCTAAAGAGTTTAGGGCTTTCAGAAATTGACTGTGCGTGTGCCTGTGTGTGTGTTAAAGTAAATATTCCTGTTTCCCCAGGACAATCATTTGGTAGAGAGGCAGAAAATAACAATTGAATAGAAAACACAGAAGTGATTTGCTTTCTGTGCAATTCTGGTAACAGCCCAAAAAGAGGTGGTGTGTGTGTTCTGGCACTTGCTGCACAGTGAAAAAAATTTTTTTTCGCTACAGAGTGAGGACATTTTTGGAAAGTGAGGACATTTTGGCCAGTCCTCACTTTCTGAAACAGCTTTTTGAGGGTTAAGACTTAGTGTTATGGTTCAGGTTAGAGTTGGGTTTAGGTTGGGGATGGTTAAGGTTTGAGTAAGGGACTAGGGAATACATTATGTCATTGAGTGTCATCACAAAGATATAAGAATGCGTGTGTGCACAGCAAAACATTAAATATTATTACAGAAGACCTTTATTTATGACTCATTGCACATGTGAGGGCCTAAACTTTTCATCCTCCATTTATTGCCCAGCTTTAGGGCACATACTTAAGATACACAAATTGGATTACATTGGGACGTCAAAGAAGCCGGTCCAGTAGTCGGTACACAGAATAAACATACAACAATGAGGAGGGCTAGGCAGAAACTGATGGTCAGGAAACAATCTGGGGTCAATAACATGAATCACGAAAGCAAGGATAATACTAAAATGTCTGTACAGAGTCAAGAACAACCTGGCAGGTTACTGATGGGAGAAGGCTGCTT